ATGCAATTCACCCTTGAGGCAGGAGGAAACCTTCTTTTTTGCTTTCTGACTGTAGTTGCAGTCCCTGGGTGGCCTAACCCTTGACATAGCTTACAGAAGACGGGAAGCTGCTCTGCTTTCTGCTGCAAGCTGCCGTGATAGCCCAGGGTCTGGTAGAGCAGCTCTGTCATGCCTCTATACCATAAGGGATTGTCCTGGAAGCGAGAGAATCCTTGGCTGCCCTTCTGGGTCACTTTTTTCCCTGCTGTGTCTCAGTAGTTCAGGATAAGCAGAATGAGGGCAGCAGGCTCAGCTGCGGGGTTTTTTCTCATATGACAAAGTGAGGAGTGGATGGGAAGACTAGAGAGGGTTACTTTGTAAAATATCGCTAAGCCATTAAACTGCATACTTACTAATGAGCGAGACCTTTATATTAGCTAAACACCTTGGTTTGTGTGAGAAGAGGAAAAGTATTGCTTACGTTAAAAAATGGATTTTATTCTAAAAGCTGTCAGCCACAGATGTTGAGGTGTAGTCAGGGAATAACATGATCATCTTTTTTATGCAAGGGATGTCATGACTGATAATCAAAAGGTTCCCTACTTACCTTAAAGATCAAGCTCTGGTAGCACATGAAAGTTAATTCCTTGGTCCCAGCAGCTTGAGTCAGAATACCAGAGGTATGTACCTCAATTCTGGAAAATGAGGAGCTTCCTGAGGAGAGCGCGGAGCTGTTCTGAGTGAGGCATGAGAAAGTATGAAGCGCAGGAGCAGACCTCAAGACACCCCTCCTCTCTAGAGGTCATGCACTTCCCTCTAAAAAGCAGCCACATGGAATCCTGTCTTGAGGTTGTACATGATCAAGCTTTACCCTTTCACAAGGCAATGGTAGCAGTAACTAGCACTTGCTCAAAAAGGAGATATGGGAGATTCAGACGTAAAGGCAGGTGTCCAGACTGTGGTGGTAAGGTATTCTGAGTGCAGAATATCAGTGGGGGCTGTGCCACAGTGTGACTGAGAATGTGGGAGTCTCGCCACCAGAAGGAGAATCCAGGCTGCTGGGGGTATCACTTCGTGCTGTCTCTGAATTGCTGCTGAGCAGAAGATGGAGCTGCAGATATGAGAGTGCCTATACTTGTTTACACTTGAGAAACACTGCAGTACAAATGCAGGCACTGTATGGGTTTAGGCATCTCCCAGGTTGGGTAATTGCTGACAACATCAGCTTTTTGGATTGCTTTATTGAACTTAGACACTTACATTCTACCTAAGTAAAAATCTTTTTTAGTCTCTGTTTGGTCTTTCCCAAAATCAATTAACTTGCAGCTCCACAGGGTTTGATTTTCTAATCCAACCATGCTTAATCATTGATGTAAACCAGTATTTTTTTCTCCCCTCAGATTCTTTTCTAATGGCTTCTAATTTCTTGCCCTCTAAGTGCGTGCCTGAATTCTCTGCATCTATTTATAAGGGCTTCCCCACTTCCAGGAGTGTTTAATCAAAGAGAAGGCTATCAGCAGGTGGTTAGCATCAAATGTCAGCAGCTACTTCATTTCTGATATCTCTTGGAAAAAATGTTTCATTACCATGCAAATGATGTTAGTCTTCTTTTCCAAGATCCATTGTCACACAGTAGAACATATGGTATGCAGAATTGTGCTCCCAAGATTTATGCGGCAACTATATTTCGTAGCAGAACAACAGTTGTGAGAGCTAAGCCATCAGATGACAGTCATTGCTGCTTCCCGATGATCTGGTGATTATTCTTCTATCCTATGATGGCAAATCTAACTTCAGGGGTGGGGTGTATTTCTGCTTTCTTTAAAACTTTCCATTTTTCTTTGGCTTGTATCAGAAATATGGTGTCTTTCACAGCCCATGCCAGACAGAATAGCCCAGCAACTTTAATGGGTGCTGTTTTCTTTCCTGAGTGTGTCTAGGAAGCAAATTATTCAGTTGATACTTGGAGTGGCAATGTCTTGAACTACACAAAGAAAATTGAAGCTGCTGGCCTGTCTTGTGAATTTTGGAAAGTTCCAATAATGGTAGTAGGAACTCAACTTTTCAAAGGGCACTGAAATCCTGCAAGCAAACCCCTATGAGGGGTTTGATTCATCAGAGCACTGGAGTACAGTTCAGTGGCTTGAGCGGGGCTTCAGGATGTGTTTAGAGTTAAGCATATGTTTGGGTGAATTGTTACCCTCAAGTGTGTGATCAAGTGCTTTGCTGACTCAGGGACGAGACATTCCTTACAGCTTGTTGTTTTCCACTTTGCCATCTGGGAAGAGGCAGCTTGACAGCACGTGGGCTGTGTGAGACATTATTGCGTTTCTGAAAAGGTATTAACAGCCTTGAAGTTTCCAGGTCCTCTGAATCAAGAATTTTTGTCTCTAGAGATCTACCTGGGGTGGAACAACCTCACTGTAGTGTTTGAAAGCAAATTGACCATGCCACAGCATTTGCTAGGTTATTGGTCAATGTATGCCTAATTAAAATAATCTTATGTTTTAGTGGGACTACTAAGGATGCAGGTGGAAAGCTTTACAGAACCTGCAGGTTTGGGGGTGTGAAACTGCCCCTTTTCGGATATTTTAAGAAGTCTCTAGCACCTCTGGATAAGTGTAAGAATCCAAATTTGCAAACACTTTTAATTACAGAGGCATCTCTTCACTACACCCATTTTCTGAGCTGGGGGAGCACGTCCGTATTTATATGAAATAAATGTTGTTACAGGCTGTTAATACAACTCACCCTCATGCTGCAGCAGATAGTGCAAAAGAGTGGGTAATACAGACTTGTTATTCTATTTGTGGGAGAAGTGCAAGATACCTTGATCCCTCAGTATTCTCCAAATGATTTTAACTTCCCAAAATACTAGATGTTTGTCTGAAAAATGTCCCATATCCCTCTCCATCTGATCAGCACACACCCCTCCTTCTCTAATCCAATACCCTTCCAGTCTGCCATGTAACACTGTTGACCTGAAAGCCTTTCCTGTACCATTGCACTGCTCTGCATTTTTGATGAATGCTTACAGAAGAAGAAATGTTTATTGTAACAAAATGCATTTCTCTATGGGAACTCTTTTTTTTTACTCTTTTCCAGTGACAAAATGTTCCCAGCCTTTGGATTTGGAGCAAGGATACCCCCAGAATACAAAGTAGGTGCATAAATGACATTTTTTAGTTTCTTTGGTTTATGAGGCACAGAATAAGGGAGAAATGGTTCAGTGCAGGGCAAGGGTTGTGGGGAGCAGTTCCTACTGCTTGTTTTCTTTCATTGGGTTTTCTCATCCCGTGATACCTCACTGAAACCAGAACTCGAGGTTAGACTTGAAATAGTTGTGCTACACCCAAAATATTTCATGGTATTGGCAAAGCTTTGTTAATGGATGGTAGTCTAATAAGAGGAGAATAGTCTAGTAGGAGGAGGACTGAATTTTTGAACAGCACTTGCCAAGCACATTTTGAAGCTTTGCAAGCCTTGGTTT